CTGTTGCAGCGTAGCTAAGGGAGGATTCAGGTCACCTGGTCCAGCTCTAACTATATGCTTTAGCAAAAAGGAAAGTTTGAATCTTAAAAGTAGAGATAGTGTCTGTCTCCTGGATCCAGAGTGGGAGCTGGTTCCACCAAAGCAGAAACTGAATTAATGATGACAGCAGATATTAAATGAATATTTCCAGTGGCAACATCCCTTATTCAGCTTATAAATATGTAGTATATGTAACGTCTGCTCTTTATTTGGTCTGTTTTGAACAGATTTTGTTTTGTTTAAGCCGTTTCTTTCAACGTGCTGCAAAAAACATCAAATAAAAGCCCAAAAAATGAATGAAAAGAAAAATTGTTTAAAAAGCAGTTAAATTTTCTTCACCAAAGCCCATAAAAGATGATTCTCAGGTTTTGCTTTGTTGCCTTTGATGAAATCTCTGCTGGAGTAAACGGCTGTAATTTCACTGCAGTTTGTCGACGTGCTCTTTAAACTGCCCACAACAGAGCCGCATGAACACCGCCTTCATGCTTAATAGATATTTATTATGTTAATGAGATGTCACTGATATGTCTCATTCACATCACAGCAGACCTGCCTGCAGATGCTACAGTGTTGATCCTTCATGCGTCCTCACTCTTGAAAATGTATTCAGAGCTGCAGAATTTGCCGGGTTTGCTTCCCCCTCACCTGCACTCTGCTTCCCTTCTTCAGATGTGCAGTGTCACACAGTCTTTGCACTCAGCAGGAGAGCTGTTTCCTCCTCTCTGTCTTTAAAGCTGTGCTTCTGCAGCAGCTCTCCTCTGATCTCTGATCAGATTGGGTCGGCTTTGCTTCCCCTTTTATCGTCTGTTTGTGAATTTGTGTGTAACTGGGTTGTAGTATGTGGGAGTGTTGCTTTTTCTCCTCCAGTGCATGCAGGGCTGTTTGTTTATGGAGCCTGTTTATATGGTGCCAGTGTATTCTATACAAATCAGAGCTGATATGGTAAGGACTGCAACGAATTGTCCTTGTACATGAAGGAGTGTGTGTTATTCTCAGTGTGTGTAAATCAGTAAATCTGTGTTTGTGTGCATTTGTGTTCATGTAGAGACACAGATAAACAGCCTGTTTTACCCAGTGTGTGTTAGACAGCTAGTGATGGGACTGTGAGACAAACCGAGCCAGTGACACAGCTGAGGCTGCACCTCTAACACCATCTGCAGCTTATGTTGTCGTCTAAAATGGGAATAAGACAGTCTGCTATCAGTCTAAGACTGAATGGCAAGTTTGCAGTAACATGCAATCAGTTTGTGATACCACTACGGCTGCCACAAACAATTATTTTGATAGTCGACTAATCAGATCATCATCCATTGGACGTAAAACGTACAGCTTATTGCACCAGCAGCATCTGCTCTTATATAACTATCATTAGCTTACAGCTTTAAGTGTTTCAGGTCTGTGCTAACTAAAAATAAAGACAAGATGATAGTTTATTAAATTTCAATG